ATGTTTCGGCAGTTTTGACAGTCCAAGAAGGAGTGAAAACAGCCCAGAAATTTCTGGGTTAAACTAGATTAAAGGGCAGCCGAAAGTTGTACAGAAACAACCCAGAAATTTCGGACACTACAACAGTCCAAACACACCCAAAAATATCCAGAAAACTGAGCACAACTTACAATTTTGAGCTTCAAATTAGAACCGAGCTGTTCCCCTTCCCCTTTTTCTTTTCTCTGATTCTTCCTGGCCACTGAACCACTTCTCCAAGAGATTCGAGTCTTGGGCACTTCCAATGACCTCCGATAATCAGGCAACACGAGTTAAGCTTCCAGCCCTAGGATATTGAAGTTCAGATATGCTCTGATACCATGAAGAAAACTGAAGAGAGTAGACCTTGAGAGTTCGGCAACGAGGGTTTGAGAGTGAGAGTTTCGAACCATACACTCTCTTAGCACCCTAACACTGTTTTATTAAGATAGATTTGAATAATTACAAGGAGGCCCTTAGTTGGGCAAGAAATTACAAATAACATAATATAGACAGGATGGGCCCAGAATAAGGYCCATTACAGAAAAACATAAATAATAAGAAAAGAATAAACAGCATATGGGCCATTCGGCCCATCTTCTCTACACATGATAAAGCAGCACAAGAAACCTTCGGCCTGCTTTGATACCAAGTAGAAGTTGCTGATAACAGTTTTAGATGAATGCCTTGTGAAGAAAAGTAGAAGAAGTTGAAAGGTTTCAGCAGTAGAGAAGAGAGGAGAAGAAAAGAGAGTGGGATATCGCCAGAATTGAATAGATCTGGCCACCAACCCCTCTTTGAATTATATACTTAAAATAAAATAATGAGAGATTACAGTAATGCCCTTAGTAGGGCGGCTACTTCAAGTAGCTGAACAGTCAYAATTTAAAAGCATAAACTAATGGGCCTAAAACCCAATAACTTCCTAACTTAACAACTTAAAAATAAAAAATAAATGACTGGGCCCAATAACATGAAACCGGCCCAACTCAACAATTATCTTTTTATTTGTTATGAAAAAAAAAAACAAGAATTGGGATTCAAACTAAGTCTAAAGTGAAGACATGCTCAAGTTTATCACTTTATTTCAGCCATATTTTTTTGGGCAAATTTCTTAAACTACCTCTACTGTTTAGCTAATTGACTAACTCTACCCTTACTATTTATATATTGTCTTAAAGTATCCCTACTGTTTCTGACAATTGTCATTGGCGTTAAATGCTAACGGAAGAAACGAAATGTCGAATTTGCCCTTTACCATCAAATTTTCAAAATAAAACCCAATTGATGAAAAAATTTCATCAATCTCTCCGAACTTCTTTTTCCTGTGTTAATCTCTCCAAGAAAAGTAAAGACATAGGAAAGGTTCTTTCAAGACGAAAGAATAATAAACCAGATGGAACAGTAGGGCCCCTCGTTGAAACGATGAATGATTTGCAGATTGTTGGGTTAGCGATGAGCAACTTGGAAACCCCTTCGTCTCTGAACAAGAAGATTAAACCAAAGACATAGAAAATGTTCTTTCCTTGCAATTTGCTTGGTTCTTGCCATTTCCTACAGAAAACAGAGAAAGAAAGTTGTGAAGGAATTAAGGACTCTGTGATGCAAATGATCACATAAGGTATCATTATATAGGGGCTGAGCGAGGTGGAGGACGATGGAGTTTCATGCATTGCTAGAGTTCCTCTTAGTGGTGAGTTACAGGGGTTTTAGGGGTGAGGAAGGAGAAGAAGATGAATCTTCTTTGGAGAGGGATTCTGCCCCTTCTGAAGGATTAACTTTGGGTTTTGTTCAACCGGTACTGGGCAAGGATGGGGTTCCCTAAACCTAAAAGCAATTAGCAACTAAAGCATCCAGGAAGTCGGCTTTGGTGACTGGTGGAGTGATGAACACCCAAGTTTCAGACCTGAGGCGGTGGCTCTGAGAGAATTCAGGAAGTATTAGAAGAGTGGAGATGGTACTACCTCCTCCTCACCATTTTTCCAATGCAAATTGTCGATTACGTCCGAGTGGAGAGAACCAAGTGGAGAAGGCATCACCTCCTCCCCACCAAATAACGTTGTTCATGAGAAATTCCCAAACAAAGTTATCTCTGGATGTAACTTGTCGATTACGTCCAGGATTCACCAGAAATTCCTGACTGACATTGCCATCGGTGCAAACCACCTCTCAGTTCGAAGAGCCAACTATTTCAGCTCGGGAAGCTCGAAAGATCAAAGCTCAACCATGATGACCTTTTTCTTCACCGGTTGAGGTTGGCAATCCCCTCTTTTGCAGGGATGGTGGTGGAGAGAAAAAACAGAAAAAAAAAAAAAAACATTATACACCTAACACCTTGCAGAAAATGGTGGTTCAAACTAATCAGCTTTCAAGGTTGAATCTTCGTGAAGGTTTGCTCTTTAGATGAAATAAGCCTTGAACCAGTAGATCTGCTTCTGATGGGCCCTAGGACTGAACTCATTTTCAGACGACAAGCACAAGCACTGGTGCCGAGGGTGAAGAGAAGCAAGCACTTGCTCCTGAGGTTTTGATCGCAAGCACCGACACTCCCCACGTTTCAGATGACAAGCATCAGCGTGGGGGTGAAGACAAGGGTATTACTATCATTTTTCAAAATATAACAGTCACGTGGTGTGGCATGTGAGCGGATTATGACAGATTGTGACGGAACCCTAATGGTAGGGGAGTAATTAGTTAGTTGTCACAAACAGTAGGGGTAGTTTAAGAAATTTGCCCTATTTTTTTGTCAAATTTTGGCTAAATCACTTTATTATTTTCAATTACCTAATAGAATAAGCCTAAAGTCATGCAGCTAGGACAATGTTTATCAGTAACATGTTTCTTGACTTTTTGCTGAGCTTTCAATTATACAATTTATAAATGCGACGGTAATTCTCTTTCATTTTTTACTACTTGAATACACCTGTGTTAATTGTAGGCTATAACACGTCCTTCTTTCTTTATGCAGAAAACTGAGACTTCAAAATGTGCTTTGTGTTGCAGAAACATGCGTAAGGTTTTCTTTCTTTTTTGATAGATTGAAGGAGACTCTGATAAGCTGTTTTAAGTTCATATGTTACTTTTCACTTGAGTTGATCTCCAGGATTTTCCTGTTGCTATTCTATGTTTTCAATTAACTTGGTATCATATTTGTCTTGTCTGTTTCCATTTGGTTTATTAAGGGGAGTACAGCAATCAGGAATTGAGAGAATGCTATCTGATACCCAAAAAGTATATATTTGATTCTATAGAAAATATGTTTCTTTTGACAGTTCTTTCTAGTATGTAATAATTGAAAATTCTACCAACAAATAAGCAAAAGAAAAATTATTCAAGATATAGAATTCCTATGCAAAAAGTTGGGTCATAAGTCTCTCCTATGTATAGAAAATAAATATGGTCCCTTATCTCATTATCAATCCTAACAGTTGGCTACATGAACCCTGTTTTGCCATTCCCTTCTGCTTAGTGTCATATCCACTTCTAAAGTACGAGTGCTTAAATCATTTCTTACTGCGTTCAACTTGTGTTCTTTTTGGTCTGCCACTAGCCATTCTAGCCCCCTCAACTTGCAATAAATGACTTCTTATGGGTGCTATAGATGGCCTTCTATGCACGCAACCAAACCATCTTAGTCTACTTCTCTCATTTTATCACCTATTGTARCTACTCCTAGGTTCCTTTAAATGACTTCATTTCTGACCCTATCCTTCCTAGTTTGTTCCACTCATTCATCTCAGCATATGCATTTCTGCCACTCATTTTTTGGACATGTCTTGACTGCCCAAAACTTTGCTCCATACAGCATTGCTGACCTTACAACTGTTTTATAGAGTTTTCTCTTTAACCTAAATGGTATTCACATATGATATAAGACTCCAGATGTGCCACTCAATTTTGCCCAACTTGCTCTAATTCTATGGATGATATCCTCCTAATCTCTCCCATGTTATTAATTATTGAACCAAGGTAACAAAAAAGTTACATTGAGTTATCTCTTGGACCCCAATTCTAAGTTTGCTCTGATTTGCACTACAGTTCATATTAAATTTACATAGCATATATGTTCTGTTTTAGTTCTTCTTAAAACCTCTTGTTTCTAAGGTATTTTTCCATAGACCTAATTTTGCATTTAGTCCAAGGAGGGAGTTTGCTTTACCCAACTCCCCTTTTTGATAACAAGGCAGAAACCCCYGACCCGACATTCATTAGTTTCGAATGAAGAATGAAGAGTGCCCTGCCCCTCTTTTTTCTTCCCTAAAATCTTGGATTTAAAAGTTGGTAAAGACCCACCCCTTGTTTCAGTCAGAATGAGTCCCCGGGACCCCGGGACATTGGCTTCCGCCAACAGTGAACTATTAAGGACCGCATCCCACGCATATCCTACATTAGGACTGAAATAAGGCTCAACAATAATCCTTATCTGAGATATACTTGTGTAAGTAGGAAGTGGCCAGGCTAGGTGGGGATGGTCTCCTTGAAGGACAAAGGAAGACCGGGAATAGAGAATCAACCGAGAGGGCTAGGGCAAGAAAGGAGAGTGGCGAGACAGCTGAACAGGGAATCCAACGAGTGAGTGAATCAATGGTCGAATGAATAATCTTTGTTATGAGGGGGACCCTCATTTATAAGGAGGGATCCCGAGGTCCTGAAAGGAAGGAACTGAAAGTGCTCGATTCCTATTAGGAAAGGGAATATTAGATTCACTGTTGGTCATTAAGGAACATTGCTAGGGCTTCACCACGTGTCTTATGAGATCTCTCAAAGGTTGACTTTCCTTTCACCCGAGGATTCTCATAATCCACGCGTACTACTGCCTTTTGCGTCTTATTTAACCGACATGGCTGTAAGTGACACCATTACATAGTGGGCGGCCTTTTTATTAAACCTACATGGCACCTTATTACGCATGCAACTTAAAATTACACGTGCAGTCAATACTTAAGTTCGGTTCTCAATGACTCACGGCTCTGTAATGGTCTAGGGTTTATCGCGGGACCGCGCTCCTCTGAAGTTCATCCCAGAACCACGTAAGTCTGAGGTTTATCGCAAAGCCGCGCGCGTCCAAGCGTTCATCGCAGGTTTAACTAGAACCTGTTTTAGGCTTGTGTCAAGCGCAAGTCCATCGCGAACATGTGATAGACCGTGTGTTTACCGCAGGCGTGCAATGCATTGTAAGTTCATCGCAGACAACCGATGAGCTGCAAACCAATCACAAGCGTCCACGTGGTATCAATTTGGTGTCTTTTGTACTCTAAAGGATTGAGTGAGTACTATGTACCTACAGCTTGCATAGCTAGTTATCTTCACTATAGACTCCTACTTATACCGAAACTGAGAAATAAAGTAATTAAGCAATTGACCAACTTCAAAAATAATCTAGAGACTTTAGATTAGATACAAAACAACTCAGACTTAGAAGTACTGTATAAAATTCCAACTAAGACTTGAACAGTTATGGGAAGGCCTCTTTCCACCTAAAACTCTCCTCTTATATGGTGGCTTGAGTAGAAAGTGCAAAACTCCAATCTGATATGAAACCTGTGATAAAAAAGAAAAAGAAAAGAAGATTTTGTAGAGAAGAGAAGGAGAGAAATTGAGAAGAATGGGAGAAAGCCAAAAATCAGATCTGGCCACCCCTTTCATTATCTTATATACTCATAAAAAAAATCTGAATACAATGACAAGTATACCCTTAGTCAAGGTTCAAAATATCGATATGCCCGATACGCTGGTATGGGCGTATCGGGCGAATTGGTACTTCTTTTGGTGGTTTTTTTTTTTAATTTTTTTGCCAACTGGTTCAGGGGAGACAGTTTAGGTCGTCGCCACACCCTGAATCGGTCAGACCACCGATACACCCATTGTAGGGGCGTATCGGTGGAGTGCCGGAACGATACGTATCGGCTGGTACGGGCCGATACGTGTTGATACTTTGAACCTTGCCCTTAGTAAATCGACTACTACTAAAGAATATAAGAAGCACTCTTAACAAAACATAAACTAATGGGCCTTGGGCCCAATAACTCTAACTAAACATTATAAACAAAAAACAAGTGATATCAGCCCAATCTCAACATTCCCCCTTAAGTTGGGAGATGTCACACATTCCCAACTTGCGTAGATCATGCTCAAGCTTCTTTCTCGCAACTCCTTTTGTGAGAACATCAGCTAGTTGTGGTAGGCACACTTCTCCGGATGTTACCCTTTCCCATATAAAATGTTTATCCACTTCTATATGCTTCGTCCTATCATGCTGAACTGGGTTATGGGCAATGTTAATTGTTGCTTGATTATCATAGTATGGCATCATAGGTTCTTTCGCCTCAATTCCAATCTCTCCTAACATGGACCGGACCCAAAAGAGCTTTAAAACACCATGTGCCATAGCTCTGTATTCAGCTTCTACACTTGACCTTTCTACAACTGATTGTTTCTTACTCTTCCATAAAACCAAATTACCTCCAAAAAGGGTGCAAACTCCTTATGTAGATCTCTTGTCATCCAGGCACCTTGCCCAATCAACATTTGTTTAAGCTTCTAACTTCAAGTGTGAAGTGTCCATGGTCAGCAAACAGTATACCTCTTCCTAGGTGTCCCTTCAAATAGGCAAGTATACTGTCAATAGCCTCCCAGTGCTGTACCCGTGGGGCATGCATGTACTGATTTACCACACTAACTGCATAAGAGATATCTGGTCGTCTCATGCATAAGTATAGCAACCGGCCCACCAATCTTTGATACCTCCCAACATCCTTCACTAGCTCACCATCTGAAGCATTCATCCCGTGGTTCTAATCAATAGGTGTATTAGTTGGCCTTGCCCCAAGTTTTCCTGTCTCCTATAGTAGGTCCAAAACATGCTTCCTTTGTGAAATGAAGATCCCATGTTTGGACTTTGCCACCTCAATGCCCAGAAAATACATTAGCTCCCCAAGGTCCTTAATCAAACTCCTGGTGTAGGTTCCTCTTCAAGGTATCAATCTCACTCAGGTCATTTCTTGTGACTACAATGTCATTCACATACACTATCAACACTGACACCAATGATTCCCTTCTCTTCACAAACAGAGTATGATCAGATTGAGTTTGAGTATAGACAAATACTTGAACTCATCTTGGCCACCAGTGCAAAGGTCTTCAAGTAGTCTATCCCAGAAGTTTGAGTGTAGGGGTTGATTAACCTATTCCGAATTTCCCCATGTCTTTCTCTCATTCTTCTTTTCTTCTCTTTCTAATTTCCTCTTCTTCTCTTCCCCGCCTAGTAGAATCAGTGAGCCTCTCTATATCTATTTGATTCAGGTACCCTTTCAAAAGAAAATGTTAATGACTGATTAGAAAAAAATATGGCCTATGTAGTTTCAATGATTGAAAATCTAAATGTAGTATAAAGAAATAGAAAAGAAAGGGAGAAAAGAAATGTTGGTTATTTTGATAATTAGTTGTGACTTATCTCATGCCTTTTTTCTCTCTAATGTCTCTTGTCATTTGCAGGAGTTATTACGAGATAGCAGGTTGCAAAGTGTGGTCTTAAGGAGAATCAAATCCAAAGAACATGTAAGTTTATATCTGGAGAACATATAACCTTTTGTATTCAATGTGTACCAGAACATCTGTTTGTTGCCTGGACACTTGAAGCACAGAAGCATGACATAAATGGAACTGTTTGATTTGGTTGATAATTAACAAGTGACTGTAGTGGTGTCTAATAGTTAAAACTTAAAAGTTAAATTATTACAAATGATAACCATAAAAAAGATCCAAAAAAATATTGGATTAACATAGATATAAAACAGATACAAAAAGTACATGATCCCCATCCTCAAAAACCTGAAAAGAGGACCAATGTCTCACAATCTCATCCATTGTCTAAATTAATCCTTTATATATCCTCAAAGTCTTTTAAGATAAATCAAAGGCTATTACCCAATGTTGGTCTCAGCTATCTGGGGTATTGGAAAGAATGGACTGGATAAGGACCTAACTATCCGCATTTTCTTGCATAAAGTTGCTGCTCTCAGACTTTTAACACATATTCTCATGTTTGTCAGCTTGAGATTTTACCATCACACGAAACCATAGCCCCTTCTTTCAAGATAAACTTTCAATCCATAATGCATCAGAAAATATATCCTTATAAATCCTAAGGAGTGGTCTTACCTTTGCCTTGAATCTCCACCTACCCTTTCCTTACATAACCCCCAAAAAACAGCAAAAGGAGATTCCTCAATAAGATCAAGTCCTTTTCTTCAAAGTTTATGTTCAAGCATTTTTGAATCATAAGGTGTGAGGATTGAGGAAACCACCAGTCGGAGAAAGCAATTGGATTATTGTTTACAGACAATGTATTTCATCCATTTTGCCTCCTTTTCAATGGATGTTGAATCATTGCAATCCTCTGATACTTCTTGGGTTTCCTATTCAGAAAAAATTTTAAAGATAAATTTTGTTCCTTCATTGCTCACTTTTTGGTCATCACTTATGAATTCCCATGCACCAATCTTACAGGTTAATGGAGCATGCAGACTTCTGAACCTGAACAGTCACACATTGTTATCACTTGAGTTTGTTCATTGCAGGCTTTCTTCACATGCTATCAATGCAATTTTTAATTCCTTATATACAGAGGGTATTCAAACACATGGGATTCAGTACCTCTCAATCAAAGCTTCAAGCATTCTTGAAAACAATGCAGTAACCATACCTTCTGGGGTGTTATCTTTTCTWTTGTCAGGAAGGTATACCTTTTATGCTTTTAATGCAATTATTGCTTCATAGACTCATCAACTTGTGATAGGTGATGACATTTATTACTTGATTTACCTTAATGATATACGGTTTTCCAATTAAACGATTTCAACTTCCATATTACTTCTTGGCTAATGCTTCAAGCATTATTAGAAGCAACAGAGTTTTGTGTAGAAGGTAGACCTGCTAATGTGGGATGGCTCCTCCAGAGTAGCTTTTGTTTTCTTGCCTTCTTTTTTCTTTTGTTTCTCTACTTTGGTTTATGGAATTTTTTGCCTTTCCCTCAGTCTTCTAGGTGTAGGTACTTGTGTTGTTTCCTTTTTCTCTTTAATTAATAAAGTTCTTTGCTGCCTATCAGGAAGAGGAAAAGGTAGACCTGCCATTCTCATGTTGCAGTTGTTTCTTCATTCTTTAATGGCTTGTGGTACTTATATCAAACCTTAATACAAAACGATCTAATATCAAATGACCCCTGTTAGTAACTCTTAACCATGTCATGCAAACATAGAAGCAAAAAAAAAGAAAAGAAGAAACCAACAAGAAGAACTAAAATGGCATAGGTGATTGTCCGAAATCCAGCTTGACAGTGCTGATTGCTGAGCATTCAGGCTATATCTCCCAAGTTATTTGGTGGATTAAAGCCAAATTTTGTCACAAAATAGTACTCATATTTTACCAGATATTTGCCAAGTTTCAGCTAAATTGGATAAACACAAGTTTGTATCTTGAAATATCTTTGGAGCTATTTTTTTAAAGACTGCAGATTTTGGTCAACAAAATCAAACATTTGATGAGTGGATTCCAAAGTTTGACTTGCCCAAGGTTGTAGAACCATTGTCTTTCATAAATTCTGGTTAATGCACATTGATTTATGTTTGAGTCTTATTTGAGGTAGGAGGGGTCCAGTTTTTTCCTTTTTCCTTAAAGAATCATTGTAAGGGTAGTTTTGGGAGTTTAATTGATAGATTTTGGTCACAAATAGGAGCACAAGACAAAGACAACCATGATTAATTGTCATAAAAATTTACTATTCCTATTAAAAGCAAATGAAGTGTGACCTTGGTTGTCTCATGCTCCTATTTGTGACCAAATCATTAGGGCTGGCCAAGAAAATCTGATCAAAGGCTGGAGGATTGGTAGATCTGAGGTTTTAGTGACCCACATGCAATTTGCAGATGACATCATCTTTTGTGAGGATTGTGATGAATTCAGTTTGAGGAATTTGAAAACTCTAGTAGATAATTTCCAATGCATCTCAAAGCTAAATGTCAACTGGGGAAAGAGTTATGTGGCGGGAATTAACATGGAAGAGATTGGCATTCAAACATTGGTTGAAATACTAAGCTGTGAGGTAAAAAATTGGCCTCTAGAGTACCTTGTGAAGCCTTTGGGAGGGAACCCAAAAAATGAGAGTTTCTGGAAACTAATCGTGGATAGATTCACCAAAAAGCTTGCCATGTGGAGGAGGAACTACATCTGTATGGGGGGAAGAACTACCTTGATTAAATCCATATTAGCAGACTTGCCCACTTTTAGGATCCCAGCAAAAATAGCTAAACAACTAGAAAAAATAATGAGGGACTTCCTATGGGAGCTAGGAAAGGAAAGGAAAGACCACTTGGTTAAATGGGAACAGGTTTGTAAACCTAAGGAGTTAGGTGGACTAGGCATAGAGAATTTGTTGAAGAAAAATATAGATCTCTTAAGTAAATGGTTGTGGAGATTTCCTCGTGAAGAAGATAGACTGTGGTGTAGGGTCATTAGAAGCATTCGTGGTATAGCGAACACTTGAATAAAAGAAAAAGAAGTTGTTTGTTTTCTGATGTGAATTTAGAGAGAAAAAGAAGAAGAATAAACCAAGAACAGAAGAGGAGAAGAGAAAAGAAGAGGAAGAGGAAGAGGAGAAAGAAAAAGGGTGCGGTTAATTGTGTTTGGCCGTCCCACCAGTCTATTTATATTTATGATTTAAAATATTAGTGGAATTCCACTAATACCCCTGCTACCTACATAAGAAATAAAAAAACAAATAAATATGGCCTAACTACCATGAAATAACATAAAGATATAAACAGAAGATAAAGTGTGGGACCACACACTAACAATTATCTCTACACTCCCCCCTCAAGTTCGAAATAGATATTAGTCATTCCCAACTTGCGTAAATTTGTCTCCAACTTGGTCTTAGTGACTGCCTTAGTGAAGAGATCAACTAACTGCATATCTGAGACAATATAGGGAAGACACACTTCTTGAGATGCAACTCTCTCTCGGATAAAATGTCGGTCCACTTCAATATGTTTAGTTCTGTCGTGCTGTATTGGATTGTAAGCAATGTTAATGGCAGCTTGATTATCGCAATACAGCATCAGAGGTTTCTCATATTCAACACCCAACCTATCAAGTAAAGATCTCAACCGTAACACTTCTTCCACACCATTAGTCATGGATATATATTCAACTTCATCACTAGAGTGAGCAACAACATTTTGTTTCTTACTCCTCCAGGGAACAAGATTTCCCCCTACAAAGGCACAATACCCAGAGGTAGATCTCCTATCATCAATACATCCAGCCCAATCAGCACCTATGTATACTTATATCTTGATGTGACCATTATTCTTCAAGAGTATGCCTCTCCCTGGGCATCTCTTCAAGTAGGCAAGTATCCTTTTCACTACAAGAAGGTGGATGGTTCTAGGAGAATTACATGTACTGGCTGACAACACTGACAGCATAAGAAATGTTTGGTCGTGTTAGGAAAAGATAAAGAAGTTTCCCAACCAACCCCTTATACATAACCCTGTCCTCAAGAGACTCTCCACCTTCTGCACTTATCTTATGGTTCAACTAAATGGGTGTGTCAGCAGGCTTAACTCCTAACTTCCTAGTTTCTTCCAAGTCAAGAACATACTTTCTTTGGGAGACAAAAATGCCATGTTTAGATTGGGATACCTCAATTCCCAGGAAATAGCGAAGTTCCCCCAAATCTTTCACTTCAGACTCCTGGTGAAGAAGCTGCTTAAGAGAGTCAACCTCACTAATATCACTTCCTATCACTACAATGTTATCTACATAGACAACAAGTAGAGTCAAAGAAGAATCTGCTTTCTTAAAGAAGAGAGTGTGGTTTGATTGAGCCTGCATATAACCAAACTTCTCCAAAGCCAGTCTAAATCTATCAAACCAGGCTCTTGGAGGCTGCTTCAGACCATATAAAGCCTTCTTCAGCTGGCACACCTTCTTTCATGCTTTTATACTGTAAAAACCAGGGGGCAACTCCATGTACACCTCCTCTTGCATATCTCCATTAAGGAATGCATTCTTGACATCCATCTAGAATAGTGGCCATGAGAAATTTGCAGCAATGGATAATAGGACTTTGATAGTATTCATCTTGGCTACTGGTACAAACGTTTCCAAATAATTTATGCCATAAGTTTGTGTGAATCCTTTTGTAACCAATCTGGCCTTATATCTCTCTATAGAGCCATCAACATTGTATTTCATTGTAAACACCCATCTACACCCAACAGGTTTCTTCCCCTCAGGCTGGTCAACTAACTTCCATGTATTATTTTTAACAAAAGCATTTATTTCTACTTTCATTGCATCATTCTACTTAAGTATCAACAAGGCTTCCTGCATTGTTCTGGGAATAGAAATAGCAGCAATAGATGCTAGGAAAGATCTATAGGATTGTGAAAGACAACCATAGGAAAGGAACTGGGAGATACAATGAGTAGTGGATGAAGTACAACGACGCTTCCCTTTACGAACTGCAATTGGGAAATCAAGGTTATCTGAAGGATAAGGCTAAGGCTCAATAGTGTTAGGTATATCATCTGCAATAGTGGGCTCAACTATGAAGGTAGTGCTTGGATCTGGAGCTATAGAAGAGATTGGGGTCGACCTGGACTACTGAGAACCAAAACCAACCTACCTCCATCGTTTGTGAAACACCCTCAATTCCCTGCACTTCTAAAAATCCTCTTTACCACACTCCCCCTTAGTAACTGGAATGGGTAACAGAACTTCTAGGGATGAAATATCTGCCGCACGACTCTCCCCCTAAGAAGAAACCCTATGATAGTAGGGTACATCCTCAAAGAATGTGACATCCATAGACACAAACCGTCTCCCAAAAACATGCTCATAACAACAGTACTCCTTTTGATTTTGTGCATACCCAAGGAAGATACATTTGGCAGCTTTGGGATTAAATTTGGAGCGATGAGGTCCAAGGATTTGAACAAAACAAGTGCACCTAAAGGTTTTAAGGGGAAAGGTGAACAGGTCCTTGTTTGGATACAAGAGGTTAAATGGTGTTTTCATGTCTAAAACCCATGAAGGAATTCTGTTAATAAGGTATATAGTTGTACGAATAGCATCCCCCTAAAAATGTATGGGAACATTAGAGTTTAGAATGATGCTTCTGACTACCTCCAGGACATGTCTGTTCTTTCTCTCAACAACCCCATTTTGCTAAGGTGTACGAGGACAAGTGCTCTGATGGATGACCCCATGATCAAGGAAATATGAGGCCAAGGGTTTTGCAAAATGCTCCTTGGCATTATTGGATCTGAGAATTTTTATCCTAATTCCAAATTGGGTCAACACCATCTAATGGAAAGCCTGGGTTAGAGTAGGGACCTCATCTCAATAAGGTAAACCCACGAGAAATGAGTATAATCATCAACAAACAATAGGAAGTATTTGCACCCCCCATAGCAGTAATACTACTAATATGATATGGTCCCCAAACATTTGTATGCACAATTTCAAAAGGAACATTACTTCTTTTATTGCTCAAAGAATAAGTTGATCTACAATGTTTTGCAAGTTTACAGCTTTCACACCTCACACTAGACACTTGGACTGACTTAAACAATTTAGGAAACAAACTCTTTAAACACCCAAAAGATAAATGACCTAATCAATTAGAAACAAATAACCTCCCAATTTCACTGTCCTTCCTCTGTGGATGCTCAAGTAGATAGACTCCATTCGTTTCATGGCCAATCCCATTCACC